GGAGGTCTTTCTGAGGCATGGCTTCCCAGGTTAGAAAACCTCTACTGGTCTTTTCCAAGTTGGTCTTTCAAGCCTTTATTTTTTGTTTTGTTTTTTTTTTGGGGGGGGGGGGTTTCTCCAGTACCGGGAACCGAACTCACGACCTTGCACTTGCCAGGCAGGCGCTTTTGCCGCTGAGCTAAATCCCCAGCCCCTCTTTCAAGCCTTTAAAGGGAAAATATTAAAAATAGTTTCCTAATCATGCATTCCCTTCTGAACATTGTCTTCTCTCCCACCACTTACTTGTTCAAGTTTCCTAAGAATAATCCATTGTGTTCATGGAAATGGGTAAAAAATACACATCTGTGTTTGTAACTGCACAGAAGCTCTACAAGAATATACCAGAACAAAAACCATCATTTCTCAACAATTTCTTCTACAGAACAAGAGAGGAGCTAAGAGGACACAGAGGGAAACATTTTTCACAGAATAGCCTTTTTACTATTTGCCCACATTACTTCACTAAATATTAAATCAAAATTGTAAAGACTTTTACAAGACCAGGCTTATTTCATTTCTATTTTCATTTCCCAGAAACTGACTTTCAAAATGCAATTTCTGATCCTTACCATCCTTTTCCAAAGCTGGTTATATAAAGATTACCAGATGCCTTCTAATTTCTAAGCTACCCTGATACATAGTCTATGGTATTCAATAAAAGCCTTTCCTAGGTTTCTATAATACTTTCTCTTGACTGTCATGTTACCTTTCTGGAAGGTCCTTTTCACTCTCCACAAGATTCTTTCTACTCATCTGCATGCCTACAGTGTGACAAAATACTTTTCTCTTGTTAGTCCCTTACAATGGATAATCCTGATGAGAAATCATTAGCACAAGAATTCTACATCCCTGGAGATCCATAAGATCCTTTTGGAAAGTCTAAGATAGCAAAATTATTTTAACTTAATGTTCCTCACTTGATCTCTCTCCTTACACTTCCCTTTCCTCTATCTGAGCCCAATCTTCAAGTGACTGATTTAAGTCCATTTTGTGTTACTGAACAAAGACTCCAATATCTTATAAGTGTACATTAGTCCATTTGTGGGGGTAGAGCCCCATGATCTAATGACCTTCCACCAAGCCACACCTCTTAAAGGTTCTACATCCTCACCACCACCATTCTGGGGGCTACGTCTGCACCACATGAACCTCTAAGGCACAAATCATGTGTAAAACATGGCAGCAACCAAAGCCAGCAGGTATCAGGAATTCCCTCTTTGTAACCATTATGTCCTTACACCTACTGATTTCTCTTGCGTCTCCCCTTGCCATATCTCCTGTCACAGCATTGTTTTTCTGGATTACCACAGTTCAATCAGGTTTCCAGTTTCACTCTTTCTCAAATCCAGTTTCCATACTGCGTGACATTCTACATCCCATATGCAAATCTGATTCTCACCATCACCAACCAACTTTCACACTGCACAGTTACTGCCTCCAAGGTACATGAGCGCTCTATAAAATTTTACAGAGGACAGTTAAAACAATCATCATCTAGATACAATTGAAAATCTAGGACACAGTGATATAGAACCCAAGTCTGTGAATATAATCACAATAACACACTAACACTTTGGGAAAAGATAATTCATGAGAAATGAATAATGCTAGACTTAACATACAGGTTACCCCACTAAAGAAAATATAATCTTTATTTCCAAACATATGAAATTTGGGTAGAAAAATATGATAACTGTCTTTCTGAAGTATTATGGATTGTGAAGCCAAACTCAGACATCATTGCTCTATACCATATTGATATTGTAAGCAATTTGTAAAATATATCAGTGGTCACATTGTTAGAAAAGTTGAATTTTGTTGTATAAGTTTTAATTTATAAAATCCTAATGTTGAGAGCTAGAAACATATATGAAATACTAAAATAAAAATAATTTTTAACAAAACCAAGCTACTTGAAATTCTCTAAACATAGTTTACATTCAGAACCATATTTGTTATCTAATCGTAGAGTATCTCCAATTAAATTTTCTTAGAAACAATTATCTTGCCTCTACTATTTCTTTAACATGTTGAGTCATACCCCTAAAACTTTAAAACTTCTCTTCTTTGAAAAGTCAAAGCTTACATAAGCTCCTAAACAATATTTAGCTTTTGAAGCAAAGGTTACCAGTATCTTATTTACACAGAGAGGGACACCTCTAAAACTGTGCTGTGTCTGATCTGATAGCTGCTAGGTACATGATGTGGCTATTTATATTAAAGTAAACTAAAAATTGAGCGACTCAGTCACATTAACCATAATTCAAGTACTGAAGAGCCACATGTTGCTGTGGCTTAAAGATACCCATCATCACAGAACATTCTACTGGATATGTTACACTACAACTTCTGTGATGAAGTTGCTTGTGACTTCTTATATCAAATGAGTTGATGACTTCAAATCTTTGTAGTTTTCCATTAACCTTATATAAGAGTTTCAATAACTGACTTAATATTCCAACTCTACTTTGTCAGTTGGAAAGATGGGAGTTGAAATAATTATACCAGTAGCAATAAATTCAATAAGGCATAATGAAATATAATTAAAAATGGAATCAACTTCCAGGTTAAGGTTAAGTTTGAGACAAGGAGAAATATGTACTGAGAAACAGCAGTAGATATTAATCAAAAGGCCCACTGTACCCTACCCACTCATCCATTAAAACCACTTTGTAAAGATCTTCAAAATGTACTTTTCCAATCATATCTTAAAATAATCACCAATAAACTCACCTTTGAGATGGAAGATATATTAAGACCACAGCTTTTAATCCGTCAACATAAACTACAGTTTAGCCTATTTCAAAGTTTACTTTGTTGACTACCACTCTAATTCTTTCAAGAGAAGATATTAGAGGCGGGAGAAAAAACCCTCAAAAACACCAGAGATAATAATATATTGGCCAGGGCTTACAACTACTTAAGATTTCCTCAGATTTCTAGTGGTCACTTTAAATACCCCAGCTTCCTTTATACTCTATTAACATAAATAAACATAACTGAATTAATTATGCCATCAGTATATTTTCTGCTTCATAGTGATACTTAAGGTTGGTGTTACTACAGAAGAGCTTATTTTAAAATATGCCAAACTCCACTCTGTGATTACTTAACTAAAATAAAATCAGATACAATAATAAGATCATGCCCCCCCCATTCACATTGAAAGTTTCAGGGGAAAAATGAAAATGAAAGCCATTTCCAAAAGAATGTATTATATATTAATTTATTTAATAAACATTTATTATCACTATGAACTTAAGGAATGAGCTGATATTAAATAAAGTAAACACCAAGCAACATTTATTAAGTACCTACCGTGCAGCTAGGCTTTGGACTATGTAAATAAAAACAAAAACAAAAAAGACATAGTTCCTGCCCTCGCGGAGCTCACAGTCTAGCTAAAGCAAGCAGTCACAAATACAACAGCAAAGCATCAGGGAAGCAAGAAGGAACTGGTTCTGCCTGGAGAATGCAGGGCGGGATTTCCAGAGATGAAGACAATGGAGCTGGGCCGTGGAGGAGTAGGAGTTCATCAGATGGAAGGGAAGGGGGAAGCGCATTCCAAGCAGAGGAAACAGCATATGAGCAAGCAGAATCTTGAAAGTGCATGCCATGGTGCAGGATGATGAGTGGTCCAGCGCAGCTAGAGCAGAAAGATGCACACAAACTAAAGAGATGAATTAGTATTTGATTTTTAATAAAATTGCAGGAAGTAAAATCTCATACTATACTAAATAATTTTAACACTGTGATTCTATTAAAAATAGGGTAATTGAAAGAATTCATTTCATAAATATCGGAGCCCCTTCTATAGGTACCTGAGCACTAAGGATAGTGTTTTGTTTTGTTTTTACAGGTTTTAGAAATAAATCTTAATTTTCCTCTATACACTTAAGAAGCAAAACAACCCTAACATAAAAGTTTCCTTAAGGTGAAGTCACCTACACACATACATGATCCTAACTTTTGTTAACCGGAGATCCCTCCACTTACCTTCCTTAACATCTTCACAACTATTACCCCAAATTAATTTCATAGTTAAACCGTTCAAAGGCAATTCAGCCTTCCCTTTCCACTTGGCCTTTCAGAACAAGGTACCTGAGAATGCTCCAGTGGAAACTAGTAACAGTACCATTTTATGATATCAGCAGATAATGCTTTCTGACCTCCACACCAATTCTCAGAAATTAATTTTAGAAATTAAACTAGTAAGGTGAATAAAAGCAAGCATGAACCAAAGACTCTATGCCAGTGGTGGCAAACCTATGCCATGCACGCTGCAGCAGGCTGTTTATTATCACTGAAAGCTCTAAAAGGTTCACCATCACTGCCCCACACCCTTCAGAAAAAGTAAAAAGACAAGGAGGAAGACAGCTCCAGTCAGCAAGTTTCCTACAGAGACTCTAAGCAACATTGTTTACTAGTGCCCAAGTACATGGCAGCTTACGGAGGAGTGGAACTAACATGAATCAAATACTTTGCTAGATATAAATTCCCATTTTCTGTTCACAATAATGCTAATGGAAAAAATTATTACCTTAATTTTACAAATGAAAATTTGATGATCTAAAATTTCTATGACTACATCAGCTAGTAAGTAGCAGAGCCAGTTCATCAAACCATGCTGCCGAAGTCCAAAGCCCCTCCTATTGTACTAAATAAAATGAATACAGAACTTCCAAAGGTCATGCTGACCCAATGGGTCAAAAAGTATGAAGAACACTGGCCTAGAGCGATACTGAAATGTTTTCTAATGTGCACAAATTCCTTATGCTCTCTCTGTGCAAGTATTGTCAAATACGAGAAAGCAGATTTATAAGTCAAACAGTTTTGCACGGGAAGGAGGGCATTTGCACAGCAAAAATTTCAGTAACGTAATTGCAATGTGAGATAGCCTTTGGAGAGCTTTTGAAATAGCATACGTATGCTATATATATGCTATAAGTAAATTAACCAACCTTATTTTGATTGAGAGGATCATTCCGAAGTCTCTGTTTGTTCTTTTGTAATTTACTAGGCATCATCTTTCCAGTTCTGAAGTCAAAACTGCTGAGGTCCACAGTATTTCCCAGGTACCTTGCCAACTGAGGTTTGCTTCTAAACTTCTTACCACTTGGACTAGAAGAAAAATAAAGTTAATTGTATAAAAAGCAGCACTAATACCCTAAACCTCTATATAAACCTGTTCTCTTAATGATTTCCTTTATTCCTCCAATTGTTACTCTATAATTTTACATGTTTTTTAAGAAATTTTAGTTTTAAGAGAACTTCACAGATTCCCTGTAATAAAAGATAATGTGTCATCTAACGAAACACCACCCTGGGTACACGGCTGGAGCACATAACAGGTGTTGCTACAGATTATCCTACTAGTCACTCACTCCGCAACTGCTAAAGAATTCAAATACACGCATAGCACAGCACACCACTGCAAGTGTTTTCAACCTTACAAATATTCATTCCAAATGGAGTTTTGAAAATGCTGGGGTTTTCACTCCCTATACAACACATGTAAAATGCCAACAGTAATCAGAAAGAATCTCAAATCCTGAGGTCAATAATTATTATTAAACATAAACACTTCAATTTCATATATTGTAATTTGGGCTAACTTTTTTTTTTTTTTTGGTTTTTCTCTGGTACTGGGAACTGAACTCACGACCTTGCGCTTGCCAGGCAGGCGCTTTTGCCGCTGAGCTAAATCCCCAGCCCCCTGGGCTAACATTTATAACAGAAGAAAATGTCTAAATGTTGACAACATTTAAATGGTCCCTACTATGGTTACTGAAATAAGGGAAAAAAAAAAAAAAAAAAAAAAACCAAGGCAAACATTCACAAACTTGTCTATATAATGCTAATACTAGTTTTATTAGGAAAGTACACCAAGAATAATTTACTTCTTTTAAGAAGTATTGCCAAAGGTTGAAAATTATAAAAGTGCCAGAATTATACAGAAGACTAATCTTTTCTAAGAAGTACTTCCTATGTAGTATTAATCTGTAAGAAAAATTTTATAAGAAGGATGTCCCTAAGACCTTGTAAACTTTCTAAGCTAAGTGTGCTAGAACTGCTAACATCAGTCTGATACGTCACTAGAATAAAATTGGGAGAATTCTGAAAAAACTCAAGAGACCATATCATATTTAGAACCTCCCATGTATTACCTGATAAGAGAAAAATAATTCAACAGAAGACAAAAGGAATAATTCTGGGGAACCAACAACAAAATATTTCTTGGCAACAATAAAACAATTTCTCTGGATTGAGTTTTATCCAACAAAGGGCACTTGGCATGTTCTATGGCATCCTGCCATTAAAAATTTTAAGACAAATGAAGATCTTACCAACTTCTTTTCCCACAATCATATGACTTTTGTATTCCTAAAAGAGAATTCAAGGTACACAGAATTCAGCTAACAGATTAAGATAACAAATTATAACAACCAGAATCTAACAAAATAAAACAAAGCAGACAATAACCAAACACACCAAGGAAAAGAATATACGATCACATATAGCAAAGCTCAAGTTCAGTTCTAACTTCAATTTCCAAATATGCTCAAGAGCACAAAATAGTCAACTTCCTTTCAATATTGTCCAAAACTTGAATCATCTGCATACCATATACTTCCACTCCCACACCTCATCTTTGTTAGAGGGCATCACTGTCTACCTAATACCTAATTCTCCAAGCTAGATGACCACATTACAATCTTTCAATGCTCCTATCTCTTAGCCACGTACCCATTACGAAGTTCAAATTCTAAATGTTAGATCAGCCAGGCACGAAGGCACATGCCTGGAATACAAGCTACACAAGAGGATGGCAAGTTTAAGGCCAACATGGGCAACTTAGCAAAATGCTGTCTCAGAAAATAAAAACACTGGCTGGGCGTGGTGGTGCATGCCTGTAATCCCCACACTCAGGAGGCTGAGGCAGGAGGATCGTTGCGAGTTCAAGACTAACCTGGGCTACAAAGTGACCTCAAGGCCAGCCTGAACTGCATAGCGAGACCCTGTCTCAAAAAGACAAAAATAAATAAATAAATACAGACAGACAGAAGGGAATGTAGTTCAGTGGTAGAATATGCTTGGGCTCAATCCCCAGTGGGAGGGAGGGAGGGAGGGAGGGAAGGAAGGAAGGAGGGGTAAAAAAGTTCAGAGACTCCTCCATGCTGACAGACAGCTTTACCTCCTTAATAAGACATCAAAAGCTAGGCTTACATATATTTTCCTGACTTTTTCCACCAGCATTGTACCCTGCATTCCAGTTTCAAAGTCATCAAAATATGCCATGTACCTGTGACTTCTCCAGCCATGTCTTTCCAGACAAAACGATGAATACAGCAATATTCTTGCCTGTCAAAGGGCTATTAAATCCTACAAGTCCAGCTAAAATGTCACCTCCCCTTCACAGCTTCCTGTTATTCTCCAACCCAACTTTAAAATATCTAAACCATACTTGGTGGAATGCCTTAACCCTAACACTCAGGAAACTACGGTATGAGGATCTTGAGTTCAAGGCCAGCCTGTGTTATGTTATACAGTGAGTTGGAGGATAGCCTGGACTACACAGAAATACCCTGTCTCAAAAAATAAATAAATAAATAAATAAAATTTAAAAACCTACTATACCCTGCAATTCTGTTTCATTGTAATTCCTATACATTTCCCTGATGGAATTCAATAACCAGAAATTACAATGCCACTTTCTGATTATAAGCTAGTACTGAAAAAGGTAATTTTCTGGTAACAAGAAACCTTATCAATTGAATAAGAAAGGATGCAGTTTTCATTTACAGAGATAATGGAATGATGTCTTATACTTACTTTAAAATTATACTATACCCAATTTTTTTTTTTGAATGGGGAATAGAACTCAGGACCTCATGCTTGCCAGGCAGGCGCTGAGCCGCTGAGCTATATCCTTGGCCCACTAAATGGAATTTTAAAAGTAAACTGTGAAATATTTTCATGGCTAGTCTGTTAACTTACATAAGAAGCAAAGTGGTTTTTTTTTTTTTTTGAAAGAAAATAAAAATTAGAAAACAACATTAAAAACAACAAAAAATTTCAAAACAAGGTGACAGGAAATCAACAATGGTTGTTATACTGAATATTGTTATCTCCAAAGTAGTTGTTCAAATTACCAGATATATAAGCATGTAAAATTGGTCAAAAAAAAGCACTAACTTCCTTTTGATAAACCAAGAGAAATTAGTAGTACAATGATCTTAGCTATTGTGTGTGTGTGTGTGTATGTGTGCACGCCCCCCCTTCTCCTTTCCCTAGCAGTTTCTTTCCCTTTCACAATATCTTCTGTACCTTTTGTGTTTTATTTACTCTTTTCAGTTACTAAGTGAGCCAAACTAATGTGAAAAGTTTGTATAAAATATTGTCACTTAATTACACTTTGAATTAAGAAGCTAAAATAGTGATCGTATAATCATATACCCTGGTTAGTAGTAAACTTTCTGATGAACTATTTGCAATAAAAATCTCAAGAGTGAAAACGTTTCTCCACAAAATAAAATGACAATTCTAAGACTTCCCTCTATTTAATTCAGTAAAAAGCTCTGCTTTTTTAACTGACTATAATTTTCCAAAGATGAAAATATTCAAGAAGCAACTTTTACTGAAAAGATAAGAATGAATAGTTTCAGCATGTGGCTTAAAGACAAAATACGAAGTCATTTTGGGGGGAATCATTTGGCAAACTTCACAAATTAAATCTATAATCCGCAGGCCCTCATACAGCAGTTGAAATGTCAGTTATCCCCTGTATCTGAAAACCTACTAGCACCTCACCATAGCATTCCCTATAGAATAAAACTTACTAGAGCTCAATGTATTGTAGATAGCTCTCCCTCAACCCAAAGAAATGTAAATACCTAAGACCTCAATTAAAGGTCTATATGTGACTGGAGGTAGAGCTTGGTGATAGAGTGCATGCTTAGCACGTACAAGACCTTGGGTTTGGTCTCTGGCACAAGGAAAAAAAAATAAAAGGTTATACTGATAAAATGTGACTGTGTGTTTCAGTTTAACATGGCTTAAGGGCCGGGGATATATAGCTCAGCGGCATAAGTGCTGGCCGGGGAAGCCTGAGGTCATGAGTTCGATTTCCAATACAAAAAAAAAAAAAAGGCTTAAAATCATTTCTATATTTATTGATTTTAAAAAACAACCATATTCATTATTAAATAGGTCTCATATACTCTTCTAATAATCTAAGTTAGCAATGAAGGAAAAAAGGCGAAGTCAAGTTTTCATTATTACCATGTTCAAAAAAAGCTGAAATGTCAACTTGCTAACTACTAACTTCTTTTTTTGTGTGTGGGCACGGGAATCGATCTCAGGACCTTGCACTTGCCAGGCAGGCGCTGAGCCGCTGAGCTATATCTGAGACCCCTAATTTCTTATTCACTCTGAATTGCCACCTTCTGTCACAAAGCTGGAACTCTATGAAGCGTCTGTACTGGATAGCTACAGGTCTTTGTCATACACACTGCTGTACACCAACAGCAGTCCAAACCATTATTTCTTCTGTGACTACAGCTTGCTTTGTGTGCTATGCTTTAAGAAAATTCAAATCAGTTGCTCCAGGACATTTTAAGGCCAGGGATTTTATTCTGCAAAAGATGAAGGCAAGCAATAGAAGCACAAGCCCCAGAGAAACAGTTAAAGTAGGAAGTCCACCCATGGAGTGGCAAAGGGAGGACACCAGCACTGGTATTAATCAGAGCATATAAATTACCATCTGTCTCTAAAACGGCTGGCTATATGTTCACGTCTCAGAAACACCACAATTTGGAAAGTGACTAAGTTTTTATTTTAAAAGTATCCATTCATAACCTAGGGAAATTATTTTAACTCTCGTAGAATGATGAAGGGTATTAATCATTTTCATTTTTCTCAACGAAGGGTTGAGAAAACCCTTTCATTTCATTTTCTCAATGAAGGGTATTAATCATTTTCAATAACAAAGATTATTTCTAATCTTAGTAATGAAATATTATTTTCACTTTCAACCACAAAAAAAAATTCCATCAACTGCCCCACAGACATGCCATTCCTGAACCAACTTGCAATTGCATCTTTAATTTCTCCTACTCACT